CAAGACTTTAGAAAAATATGAATAATATGTTTGCAATATCTTACAAAAATTACAAGATAGTGGATTATATATCAATTTTTTTTAAAATATATATATATATATATATATATATATGCGTATAGTGATGAATTCCAAGTAGAATCATTTGCTATATCATAACAACTAAAATCTTAATAACAGATCTTAAGAAGATTAAAAATCTTTAGCAACTAAATAACTTTAGAATTGGTTCAAAACATCCAGTGCTTTGTTAAAATTACAAATCTCTATAGTATATTTATCAATAATTCTTCTTACATAGTTGCTCCACTTATACAATTGTCGTGCAAAGATAAGCTTGAATAAAGATTAAAAACTAAGAAAGTCTTTATATGCTTGAAAACATCTATCATAACTCCTATTTTGATTCATTTAGATAATTTTAAGTGTTTTTTTTTTTTTTTTTTTTTTTTTTTCGGTGTGGAAATCAATGCCTCAAACTTTGCATTGGAAGCAATCTTGTCACAACTTAGAAGAGAAGAAAGACTATATTAAATTGCATCCTGCTCCAAAAATTTCTTAATTGTAGAAATAAATTAGAAGATTCAAACAAAAAAACTTCTTATTATTATGGATTCTTCCTAGAAATGGCATCATTTGCTCAAAGTTGCTTCACATCTAATGATTGTTTGTACAGATTACAAAAATCTTTAGCATTTCATATTGGTTTGTATTTTGAATTATCTTCAAGCTTATTGAAGCATTTCTCTATTTTATTTTAACTTCAACATCACAAATTTATTTAAAAAGTAATAAAAATTTTCAAATGCTTTATCATGACATCCCTGTAATAGTTGTTAATAGTAAAATAAAATAAAATTTTCTATTTACTATTTTTTAAAAAATACTATTAATAATTAGTATTTTTTATTTTAAAATTATATATTTATATATATATATATATATATATATATATAATTTTGATATAAAGATAATATAGTTATAATCCTAAAATTAATTGGATAAAAAGTTATTTTTTTCTTTCTAAAGATAAAGTTTGTAATCAATGCCAAATTATTAATCTTTATTAAAATCTAATAAAATATTTTTAAAAACACTAATTTAAAAATATGATTTTAATTTAATAAAATATTGCAATTTTTTGATAATATATTTTTTCTTATTATCAATATTTATACTTTATATTTAATAAAATATGCATTTATATTTATATTTCAAAAAATAATATTTTTTTTTAATTTATTATATTAAGAATATTATAGTACATAATATTAAACTTAAAACTTAAAAAATTAAGAATTATAAAAAATAATAAAATATTATTTTATTATAAGATAAATTTTTTTAATTTCTTAATACTATATACTAAATTCTTAATTTCATCACTATAAAAATATTGTAATTTTAAAATTTATCTAGACATAAATTTATCTATTTTATTATAAGATTTATATCTAATAGTAATAATATTGTCTTTTTGTGTTCAAACTAATATACCAAAATAGTTATAATAAAAAAATATTATATTTTAATATATTTTATTATATATATATATATATATATATATATATATTCTTATCAAATGTAAAAATTTATTTGCATCAAATAATTATTAAATAAACTTCAAATAGAATTTTTTCCATTTGAAAGTATAAATTTTATTTAAATTAAACTTTCATATATAATTTTAATATAATAAGTGAATCTTAATATAATGCATAATTTTCTTTTTATGTTTACTTTAGATGTAACTAATATAACAATAAAAAAATAAAAACCTAAAATCTATCATATTTCATATTAGATATCCAATAATAAAATGTTAAGAACATGAATTACAGTGATTTTATTATAAAAATCATACTTCCTGGAAATAAAAGATAATACTCAAATCATCTTTTTAATACTTTTATAATTATTAGAAATCAAAATAAATAAATAAAAGTATATTTTTAGTTTTTTTTTATTTTTTTTAAAGAATATTTAATTTTAAATATTTTAATTTTTAATTTTAATTTTTAGTATTTTCATATAACTTTATAGTATTTTTGCAACTTAAAATTATATTTTATTTTAAAATAACTATAAAAGTAAATTAAGCATGATAAAAATATTATTTAACTTTTAAAGTATTTTTTATCATGGAATTATATATATATATATATATATATATATATATATAGATAGATAGATAGATAGATAAATTTTTATTTCTAATTCTTTACTTATTATTATTTTATATTAATAAATAAAAAATGAAAATAATTAAATAATATAAAAAACTTTAGAAATAAATTTTATTTTATTTTTTTATCTTTGATTTAACTTTCTTAATTTAAAATTTTGAATATTATATGTATGAGTTTTTTTTTTTTTTTTTTTTTTTTTTTTTTCCCGGCCCCTCTTAAATTCTTAAAAAATTTTTTTTTTTTTTAAAAAAAAAACCTGGCTAAAAATTTTTAAAAACCAAACCCTTTAAACCCAAAAAAAATTAATTAAATTTTTGCCAAGTTTTTTTAAAACCAAGGTTTTTTATAGGTTATTCCAAAAATATAGGTTATTCCAAAGTGGGGAAATTTGGGGACCAATTTAAAGGTTTTTTTTTTTTTCTCCGGGAAAAAATTTATTTTAAATTTTTTACCTTGGAATTCCCTTAAAAATTTTTTTTTGAAACCTTTAAAATATATATGTTAACCTTAAAAAGGTTTTTAAGGTTTTTTTAAATTTTTTTGAAAAAAAAAAAAAAAAAATTTTAAACCCCCCAAAAATTTTCCTTACCACCTTGTGGCAATACCTTCTTAAACCTATTCCCCAGGCTTATTATGGCCTATAAAAAAAATTAACCAAATTTTTCTTTTTATAAACCCTTAAAATTGGTCCTTTTCAAAACCTTCCCATATTTATTTTTCCCAAAAGTCCTTGAAGTGAAATAGGATTGTTTTCTATATAAAATAAGAATATGAAGGGTTGTCAATTTTAAAATCCTTTGATTGATTAAAATCAAGAAGTCTTCTTTACTTAACTTTGTATATATAAAAATAAGTCTAAAGGCTGTAAAAAGAAAGTATGAGGTAGATTGCATTTATTTTCTACATGGCATGAATAGTGATGTCTACCAAAAATTTTAGTGGACTTATCTTAAAAGAGATGTCTTTTAGAATAATTTGATGAATTGTGTCAAAAATTTGTTTAAAATGACCATTAATCAAATAACAAATTAAGTTTATTATGATTCATATAATTGTTATTACAATGATACAAGCTCACATATTCAAAGTTGTAATGAAAAAAAAAAAAATGTAGGATCAATGCTTGAAGATCTGCTCGCTCCCATTTGCATGAGGAATAGATTTCATCAATTTGACTTGCTTATTCCACCCGTCACATGAGTAGATGGATAAAGTTCCTGGTACTGTTCTCTACTTGTTATTGAAGAGCCACGTAGGAAATCTGTCGGTGATCAATGCTTTGCAGCTTACTGACTCGCTTTTAGATTGAAGTCAGTGATTGCACTTGCACTATTTCTCTCGTAGGCATGATCAAACTTACCACCATCTGCCTTTCAAGTAAAACTAGTCCTGGGATTGAAGCTACTGTAAGTAAAATTTTCTTTTCTGAGAGAAGTTCCTAGTTGGTGAGGTGCTGTAGGCTGTGAGCAAGTTTTACAGAAATTGCATAAGAAACTTCAGAAACAAGAGTCACTGAAAGTTGTTTTTTTTCCATCTGACTAATCTCCAGGAACTCCAAAGGACGGGTCCTCAACTGCCCAGGTTCAGATTCTTGCTTGAAATGATTATACAAATAAAGAGGAGGCATATCCTTAAGAAATTTGCTGGTAATTAATTAGGACTCTTCTAACCGGCAACTACATCCCATTAGCCATGTCAATCCCCTTTCAACGAGCATATATTGGAAGTGTGGCAAGAAAGAAATCTCATCCATTGCTTAGTTGGCAATGCTTGATGAATCATCTTAAAGTCAACCATGGATGACCACCAAATGAGTGTGTTGTGAGCTGCAGAAAGCATGTGGCACTGTAACTGGAGTAGTTCCCACTCTGCAAAGTATCCTCAACCTCTTAGTCCAAGAGATCAGTTCACTGCTACTTCACATTTATCCTTCAGCTGCCAAGTTAATAATGTGATTTCTGCGCAAGTGTCTGGAAGTCATTGAACAGTATTAATCGGCCTTTCTGCCTCATCCAGGAACCCTCACTGCTTCCAATCATACATCCTGGATAACAAATTAATATCTGGTTGCCTTGCCACGGTCGAGTGTGTACAGACAGATGGAGGCACATCTTTCTTAATACCTGGTTGAGTTCTTTGTATTTGCAAATTCAGTATGTGGTCATTTAAGTCTTCTGTATGACTTGTTTGCAAATCGTACCTACGGAACATGACCTCGACAGCGAATGTACATGTGATGGTAAATATTCAACTCCTGTCAGAATGAGGATATGGAATTGACAGTATTGAATGTTTTATCGTCACTACATGTTAACCACACTCCGGCTACTTCGGCAACCCGATGTCAGTGACTGCATGCCAAAGCCCAAATAACGTGAAACAATCTGCTGCTGTGTGTGATTAAGGACATCAAGACTTCTACAACAGCAACACTGAGAATTAAAAGCATGTAACAAGAATGTGAATCACTACGGTTTAATAGATGGCTTGTCCCCTTTTCAACACTCCATCGTCTGTCCGAAATTCGACTATAATATTAAAGATGTAATATATACAAATCTGCCTTTCACGCCATGATCGTCATGCGTGTATCCTGCGCTACAGCAAATGAAACAACTAAAAGCAAAATTAAGCTACGACTCTGGTCCTGCATCGAATGACCGCACTGACAACATCGACAGACAGCACTGCAGAGGATGCCAAACACTGAG